GGGGGTGGCTTTGCAGTGAGCCCATGCACCTGCAGGCAGCCAGATGTGCATGCACTTCCCTAATGAGTCACCGGCTTCCTCCAAACCGGGCTCTGCAAATCGCAACACAGCCCATAGCATTTGCCAGGCCTCTTGCATAACAGCGTACATCCCCTTGCACCTTACTGAACTTCTGTGGGACAGACAGGGAACGGATGCAGCTGTGGCCAGCTCAACCACGGGCAAATAAATGACCTTCCCTTTAGGGTGGGTGTGCAGCTGCTGCTCCCAGATCCTTGCAGCAAAAACTGAGAGAGGGAGAGGTTAACATATCAAGCCTTACTTGTAGGGGAGTGCAGACTAGGAAACAGCGTGCAGAATTGCTAGGGAAAGCACCACTCCCTGCAAGGGCTGTGTCCTGTACGTGCCTTTACTGGAAGAGCTGGTATGAAAGGGTACACCAGGCCATCCAGCCCCCCCAAACTTTCCCTCTGCAGCTCTTGTGCTTATTATACCAGGGGGAGGGTGAGCAGGGCACAAGCCGTAGGAGCCACTGAAGGAGGGGGCACTCGAATCCAGCTGGGGGGAAGGATATTCCCTTTCTGCCCCCCAACCTTTCTATATAGCATCTCAAACTCCAGCAGGAGGGAAGAGCAGAGGTGGCACACAGTGGGCTGCTGCAGGTGGGGAGGTCACGATTTTGGCCACTTGACCCAGGTCAGCAGCCAAGAAAAGGAGGTGATGTCTTCCCCCGCAGCATCAACTTGGGGCACAGCACTGGTTATGCCTCTGCTTGCTGTGCCAGGGAAGCAAAGGACTGTGCTCTGTGGGGTCTGGGGGCAGCCAGGACCAGGATGGAAAGTGTCTGTCCCAAACTCCTCCACCGCTAGCTGGCTTACAGCTTTGCACAGGATGCCTCGGCATGGCACGCGACAGGAGCCTGTCCCGTTTGCGACCTGAAGAACCATCATGTGATAACTCAGCTAAAAATCAGCCAACACCTATGAATAGCTCAGCCATCCAGCTGCTCCCAGGAACAGCCTTTCCCAAAGCGGTGCCGACTTCGGCAGCATACCCTGAAGCGTCTTTCTTTGGACCAAAAAGAGCAGAGTCCCTGCAGCCTTGCTGAAAACACCCACCCGTATATATCCAAGGGGTCGGAAATCCAGCGTGAGCATTTGCAGCCAGAGTAAGAGATGTAAGCAGAATACACCATGGAGAAAAGGGATCCCCTTGCAACGCACGCATGTGCAATGGGCTGATGGCAGGAACATTGATCCTGATCTCAATGAGCTCCGAATGGGCAAATTTCGACAAAATATCCATTATTTCATTTAAGCCCCCATCCCCTAAAGGCTTAAACCTGCAAGTGAGGCTGGCCCTCCCCACATCGCAGCAATTCCTGGGATTGGAGCATGAGAGTGAGATAAAACAAATCTTCATTTCCCTTGCCTCCCTGTGCTTTCCTTTTCCCCCAGGATCTGTCCAATAAATACACAGGTCTAATTTTTGCTTTATAAAAACGTGCCACCGATATTGAGGCTATTGTTAGGAGAACGCTCCACATTCATGTCTGGAGGCCAGAAACCAGATCCAAGCAAAGCAAGTTTAATTTGCTGTTAACGTCAAAGCCCTTTCAATTGTCTTGTGTAGTCGCATTTGTTTAAGCAGTAACCACAGTGACCGCTACACGTGATGTCATTTTTCAGTCTTTGCATTAGGTTTCGGAGAATTATATTTATAGCCCGGCGGATCCGATCCTGCCATCTGAACCCTGGCACAATGCCCGCTGACATCAAATGGGGGTTTTGACTGAATAAGGACTCAGCAAAAGGAGAGCAAAAAACTGGTGCTTGGATAAGGAACCAGCGTTTTTGTGATGATGACTAGCATCTTCAAGGCTGTACGATGCAGACAGCAATTTCCCCAGAGGTCAGGGAGTTTTTTGGCCCAAGGCTTTTGGATTAGGGTCCAGCTGTGAAGTTTTGGGCAGCTTGTCCAGTAGTGGGGGGGGTGTCTGTTCTCTTTCTGCAGCATTGTGCATCGCACCCCCCCTTTTTTTTTTTTTTTTTTTTT